CAAGCACGTTTAAGCCCAAAACTGACGTTCAATCCGGAAACAAGCTGCCAAGCCTCCGAATTGCGTTATTAAAGTTCAAGTGTTTTGAAGATTCAAAGGCGTTCTTGAAGACCAGAAGGAAGATTCAAGCGCATTCAAGCTAAAAACCGACGTTTAATCCGGAAACAAGCTGTCAAGCCTCCGAATTACGTTATTCAAGTCAAGACCGGCGTAGAGAAGATCAAGATCAACTTTGCGGCGAAGACCAAGGATTCGTGTTCTTCACGTTCTTGGGAAATCACGACGTTCGATTCGAGATCAAGCTATCAAGCCCTCGAAGAAACGTTATTTAAATCCATATTCAAGACTGACGGAGATCAAATTGAAGATTAGTCTCCAAAAGTCTGAAGTCTATTTGAAGATCGTTCTTGAAGAAACTAATCAGAGGAATAGTAGAGATTTGTAATCCACTATATTTCTTTTGATTCGTTGAAAATTTATTTGTCCGAATTTCTCGTGTTTATTAATTCAATAATACGAAATTTTGCGTTACAAATTTCTGGCACGCCCGGTGGGACAATCTCTACCTCTCATCTATTTTCTTCAAGATATATAAGTGCAACGATGACTCCTCCCAAGTCAACTTCTTCAAGTTTTGCAAGTGAAAGCGTTGGTGTCGTAACAAGAAGCATGGCAAAGAACAAGAGTGTATCTCTGGAAGGAAATTCTCACCAAGTTGAGGAAAATCGGCCGTCTTTGATGAACCATGAGGAAGATTTGAGAGACGATGCTTCATCAACACCTTTCTCAATGGAGGCACATTTTATGATGACGAATGCATCAACCATTGAAGAGCAACTTGCAACCATGGCAAAAACAAAGGAGTCGATGATGAAACATGTCCAAGAACAAGACTCCACAATTTTAAAGTTGCTAGAAAGGGTCGACAAAGCTGAGATTAGCCGTGCTGGGGGCAAGCAAGATGAAATACATGAGGATGAAGAAACTTCTAAACAAGATGAGGTGAAGCAAACTAAAAAAGAAAAGTCTTCGTCAGAAATCCATGTTTCTTCAAATGGACTCATACCAGCTGACCAACTCAAAGAATTCATTATGGGGACCATCAAGGACAAATTTGATGGAGGCTCCAAGTCATCTTTGACTTATTCGAAGCCATACACCCAAAGAATTGATAGCTTGAAGATGCCTATTGGATATCAACCGCCTAAATTCCAACAGTTTGATGGTAAAGGCAGCCCGAAACACCACATAGCTCACTTCA